AGATACTTTTCAAAAGAAGACATACATGTGGCCAACAATCACATGAAAATTACCTCAATATTGCTGATCACTAGAGAAATGCAAATCAAAACCACAATGAGATATCATCTCACACAGTCAGAATGGCTGTTATTAAAAGGTCAGAAAATAACAGATTCTGGTGAGGTTGTGGAGAAAAAAGAACACTTGTATACTATTGTTGGGAGTGTAGATTTTAAAAAACCTTTTAAGGAACTACCATGCTGTTTTCCACAGTAGCTGCATCATTTTACATTTCCACCAACACTGCACAAGTGTTCCAACTTCCCTGCATCATCACCAACACTTGTCACTTGCTGTGTTTTTTCAAATAGTACTCATCCAGAAGGATGTGATATCATCCCATTTTTAAAGGCTACTTTATTTCCAGAGATGTGGACATTATTGTATGGCATTATTAGAGAAAACATTTTGTTTTTGTTTTTTTTCTACATGTCTGGTTAAAATAAAAACACATGTGTTATAGATAATTGAGAAAATATGGCGATGACTTAAGAAAAGAGTGAAAAATTAGCTTTAGACTTACCTCCTAGGGATAGCTGGTGCTACTGTCTTATACATTAAAACTACATAAAAACACATAAAGATACTTTAGTTTTCTAAATGGAAATTATATGCACTGCCTCATAATTTGATTTTTTTATTTAATAATATTTGAGCATTTTTATGTCATTAAACAATTTTAAGTGTTTTATAGTGATTAAGTAGTATGAATCATTTGGATATAACATTTCATTAAATTTACCACTTAGTTTGGGATGTACCATTTTAAAAATTTATTTGCTATTACAATAACATTGGAATCAATTCTTCTAAATATGAATCACTGCATAACCTGGCTAGCCATATATGAAAATTTTCTAGGGCACATTTCTGGAATATATTGGTCACAAGGTTTGGAATACTTTTAAGAAAAGAAATCTTTTCTTATTTAAGAATAATGTAGGCCTGGCACAGTGGCTCAGACCTGTAATCCTAGTACTCTGAGAGGCTGACACAGGTGGATTGTTTGAGCCCAGGATTTTGAGACCAGCCTGGGCAACATGGTGAAACCCTGTCTCTACAAAAAGTACAAAACTTAGCCACGTGTCATGGTGTGTGCCTGTAGTCCTAGCACTTGGGAGGCTGAGGTGGGAGGATTGCTTGAGCCTGGAAGGTGGAGGTTGCAGTGAGCTGATAGCATGCCATTGCACTCCAGCCTGGGTGACAGAGGGAGGCCCTGCCTCAAAAATTAAAAAAATGAGAATAATAAAAAAGAATAATATATAGTGTATACAGAACATTTTTAAAACTCTAATTACATACATCGAGGAATTATCCTTATCAGCAAAGCCAATACCTTCTTTTTCCAACAAGTCTTTTCAACAGAAGCTGAATATTGCCAGCTGATTGAGACTAGTTTTTCCAAAAGCAGATAACAAGATGAGAATTTGTGTGCAAGTGAATTATTGAGTACATCACCAGGGAAGGCAATTGCTATAGTGGGAGAAACAGGATGGGGAAGCTGAGGAAGGGTGTTACCAGAGTGAAAAATTCCTGCAGGGTAGCTTCAGTCTGGCCTTGCAAGAGACCTCAGGAGTAGGGTAGTCTCATGGTTGTCCTGCCCCATGTCACGGGGCCTGGTTTCCTTATTGCCAGTGATAATCAGTGGTAGTAAGCCCATGGGGAGAGAAAATACAAACCCTCAGACCCTTTTGGCTCTCTGTGCCCTTGGACAAAACTTCAAGAAAAGTTTGTCTATGAAGGTGCAAATACTGGCCCCTGAAAGTCCCTGAGAGGTAAAGGTGGGAGTGGATGGGACTGGAGGCAGGGCACAGATAAAGTACAAAGAATCTCAAGCCCTATATTGTACATTACACCTATGTACAGGAAGCCTCATCCTGCCCAGAGGAAGTCACCCTGAGTTTTAACACCATAGATCCATTTTGCCTGTTTTGAACTTTATGTAAATAGAATTATATAGACAATATTGTTTTGTGTCTGCCTTTCCTTACTTATGATGTTTGTGAGACCCGGCCAAGTTGTTGCACATAGCAACAGCACGCAGATTTTCATGGTTGTTTATGATTCCATTCCTTAAATATACCACCATTCATTTGTTCACTTTACTGTTCTTGGACATCTCAGTTGTTTTTGCCTTAGAGATATTATTGGATTTTGCTACTATGAACATTACTGTCCATAAGCTCTCATTTCTGAGGAAAGTGATGGCTGAGTCATAAGCTAGATAGGTCATAATATTTAGTTTTAGTAAGTGTGACTAGAAGCTGTTCTCAGAAGTGGTTGTATTAATAGATGTGCCTACCAGAAGGTCATGAGAAATTTACTTCTGTCCTCATTATAGGTGGTATTGACAGTCTTAACATTTTAGCCATTTTGGTGGTCACAGAGGAATCTCTCATTGCAGTTTAATGTGCATTTCCTTAAAAAAGATGTTGAATATCATGCCATATGAGCCCTGATTGTTTGGATATTATCTTCTGTGAAGTGCCTACTTGTAACTATAGCTTTTAAACTAGGGTTCTCCGCCCTTTTTTTTTTTTGTAATGACTATTCAAATTTAAAGATGTGTGTGTATATATGTGTGTATATATATATATATATATATATATGGCCGATTGTACATTTATTTATATTTATAATGATATAACCAAATATATATTTGTACACACATATTCTGAATATGAGTCTTTCATTGTTTATATATATTAGAAATATTTTCTACTTTATGACTTACATTTCTATTCTCTTATTGTTTGCCAGAAGTTCCTAATTTTAGTGTAGGCTAGCTGAGCAATGTTTCCTTTCTGGTTAATGCTTTTCATGCCCCTTTGTCTACTCCAAGGTTATAGGAATATTATTAAGTGCCATTTTCTTAAATATTGTTCACCTGAAATGTATTTTTTGTATATAGTATGGAGTAAAGATAAAGTTTCATTTTCTTTCCAAGTGGATATTTACTTGACCCAGTATAATTTATTGGACAAAAGTTCTTTCTGTACTATTCTATAGTTTTTCTTATTCATAAATCAAATGTTGCTGCCTGTATGGATCTTCTTTTTCTCTAATTTGTGTATCTTTGTGCCACTAGTACTCTTGCATATACTATATCTTTATAATAACATTTGATATCTCTTGGAGTAATTCCTACAACTTTATTCTTTGATAAGAGAAATAAGCCCTACATAAAGAACAAACAACTAATAAATCCAACAAACAGAATCCTTTATGTTGTCTAGTCTAAAATTTAAAAACTCAAGTAACAAAAACTACCCTTTGTGTTTTGCCCCCTCACTGCCATCCCCCTTGCCTCTCCAGTGGAAATTCTGTGATCTATCCAGATACTTATCAACATCCCAATTCAGACAGGAACCTTATCTTGTTTACTGTGACTCTCCTAGTTTTCAAGTCATAGATGGAAATCTGTTCTCAAAAATATATCTTACATTACTTACTGTTTGTATTAGGCCATTTTTGCTTTGCTATAAAGAAATACCTGCCCTGGGTAATTCGTTAAAAAGGAAAAGAGGTCTAATTGGTTTGCAATTCTGTAGGCTGTACAGGAAACATGACGCTGTCATCTGCTTAGCTTCTTGGGAGGCCTCAAGGAGCCTTTACTCAAGGGGGAAGGTGAAGCTGGAGAAGGAACATCACATGGTAAGATCAGGAGCAAGAAAGAGGAGGGGTTGGAGGTTTGTCACATGTGTCAACAAAACCAGATCTCCTAAGAACTCACTCGTTATTGCAAGGATAGCACCAAGGCATGAGGGATTCATCCTCATGACCCAAACACCTCAACCAGGCCCCACCTCAACACTAGCGATAACAGTTCAACATGAGATTTGGCAGGGACATATATTCAAACTGTATTATATCTCTTTCCTTGGTTTAAAAATGTATGTTTGAACCGTTTTTCATGCATCTATTATCAGGCTTTTGAGGTGGATGTCTTGTGAGCTCAGAGCTCCCCTTTGAAATGGATCTTCAAAATAATTCGGAAGTGGACTGTGCTTCTTTTGTGGAAGTAGTATGGGAGAAATGGAATCTTGAGTGGTACTCATGAATAAGGCACAATCTGAGAAAAATTGGTCCATTAAGAACTGAAGTAGTCATTCTTGCTTCTGGCTGGCATGTTCTCTTCATTTCTTTCCACATGCAGATATATTGGTAAACAATGCCATAATATTTTAACATTTCTGTGTTGTAGTCTCATGTTCCCTCTCTCTCTCTCACTCGCTCTCTCTCTCAATCTCTCTCAATCTCTCACATACACACAGACACACACACACACACACACACGCACACGGTTGTAATCTTGGCTCCCAAGACAAATGGAAAAGGGCTACCAAGTGCAAATTGAATGCACATATGGTAAGATTCTTTGAGGTCTCCATTTTTAAATTGTTCTTCTTACCTCCCCTCTGCCTCCTAAGCATTCTGCAGCAAAGCTCTATCTCTGAGCTATTTACAGTTCAATAAGGCTTTTGCTCTTTTACATGGGAAGCACAGACTGAGTCTGACTATCTGATTTTCTATTTCTGTGACCCCCATACTCCCTCTTTAAAAAGGATATTTTTCTTTGCATGTGCTCCATTTCAGTCCCTAGACTGTTCTGAATCTTGGAGTTATCAAGATGCCTTTCCCCTGCTCATAGTGTTTGTTAAACTATGATGGCACCCTGCCATATAAAATGCATTAGGAGAAAAGGTAGGACCTCATAGGTGGCACCTAGTGACAGTGCTCTCTTCATGGCCCCTTAATCGTGGAAGAGAACACCTGGAAAAAATTCATTCTCTTTCCAAATGGGAACAAGGAATATGAAGGAAAATGAGGAATGATGAAATCTGGCTGAGCACAATGGCTCACACCTATAATCCAGAAATTTGGGAGGCCAAGGTGGAACATACATTGGAGGCCAGTAGTTCAATACCAGCCTGGGCAACTTCGCAAGAACCCACCTTTACAAAAAATTAAGAGATTTGCTAGGCATGATGACATGAGCCTGTAGTCCTTGCCTGTCAGGAGGCTGAGGCAGAAGGATTGCTTGAGCCCAGGAGTTCCAAGTTATATTTAGCTATAATCACATCACTGCATTCAAACCCGAGTGATAGAGTGAGACTTTCTCTACTTTTTTTTAAAAGAAGAATAATGAATTCTTTATTTTGTCCTTTATAGCACGTCTGTGAAAAGTTTCTAAACCTTATTAAGAAACTAGAGAACGCTTCTACAAATGTTTGTGTAACGTTCCCCACGTGAAGATCAAATACTCATGTATTTGAGAAAGGGCAGATCTTTACCCACCAGTACAGGTTTAGAAAATTGTAACTGCTAAAGCATCCAGAGAGTCCAAATAAATGAGTGTACAAATAAAGCTCAGTCACCTCTGCATTTTTCTAATATATTTAAAACCACCCTTGAACAAAGTACCTGCACCACTGCATTTTCCTTCACTGAGTATAGCAGAATCTCTATGAAATTGTCTCCATCAATATACGAATGAGCCTTTGAAGTATCATCACTAAAGTCTCTGAGCTCTCAAGAGTGCTCATCCTAAAAAGTAACCAGTGGTTGCTCTTCTGTCTTCAATAAATGGACCAAACCCTTCTCCCCAGGATGAGTTGTTTTACTGAAATTGATTTCTTTATTGTTCAGACCTTAATTTTTATTATAACTTTTTATTTTGAGATAGTTTGCCTCACTAGTAGTTACAAAAACAGGACAGAGTTCCTATGTACTTTTCACTGACCTTCCCTCAAATGTCAATATTCTAAAATACATAACATATTATTGATAAGGTCTGAATGTTGGTGCCGTCTCCCTTCCAAAACACGTGTGTGGGTGTGTGTGTGTTTATATATATATACTAATACTTAGTATTACAGTATTAAGAGGTGTTACAGTATTAAGAGCCAGGGCCTTTTGAGAAGTGATTAAGTCATGAATGATCCACCTTCATGAATGATATTAGTGGGCTTAGTAAAGAGGTTGAGGGGAGTGCCTGGCCTCTTCTACCATGTGCAGGCACAGAAGAACCCATTTATGAGAAACAGGCCCTCACCATACACCGAATCTGCTGGCATCTTGATCTTGGACTTCCCAGCCTCCAGAACTGTGAGCAATAAATTTCTGTTGTTTATATTACCTATTGTAAGGTATTTGTTATAGCAGCCCAAGATGAGTAACACAATTGCCCAAACCAGGAAATTAACATTGGTACGGTAATATTAACTCAAGTGCAAATCTTATTCAGATTTCAATTTTTAAATTTTATTTTTGGTGTATAGATCTATGAAATTTTATTATATGTGTAGATTCAAGCAATCCTTGCCACAATCTGGATATAGGGTTTTTCCATCACCATAAAGAAACTGTCTCATTTGAACCTTGATTTTTGAAAACTACAATTGGAAATAGATCACATTTCAGTAAGTTTCTCTGCTTAGAGTAATTTATTCTAAAGTTTTGATGAAAAAGAATTATCAGATTTTAACATGTTTTAGTTTAGCAGAAAGCATTTAGAAGATACTAACATATAAATATGCATAGCTGTGAGAGTTTCGTTCTGATTATTTACTATAAGATTGTAAACAGCTATTACTGCACAATAAAACACACTAAAATTCGGTGACTGAAATAGCAATCACCGTTTGTTTTGCTGATAAATTTGTGATTTGAACAATGAGTATAGCTTATCCACTCCATGCAGCATTAAGCTGAGGTGGCTCAACCAGGGCTAGAGGATCAATTTGCAAAATAGCTTAGTCACAGGGCTGGCAAGTTGTTCCTTTCCCAGTGGGTTTCTCTACAGAGGGGCTTGGGCTTCCTCACAGCATGGCAGCTGGGTTTTAAGAATAAGAATAAAAGACAGAAAATAGAAGCTACCAGTTTCTTAATACCTGAGTCTGGCCTTAAGCATAATACCCACCTATTAGCAAGATTCAGAGGCCAGATTCAAGAATAGAGAACATACACCTCACTGTTTGGTGGGAGCAGTGTCAACAAATTTATGACCAGATTTTAAAACCACCACATTGTTTTTCACATTAAAAAAAAAAAAAAAGAATGCTTGCAGTTCTAAAAATATATTATAAATTTGTTAAAATAAAAATAAAGTTCAGAAATATCTTGGTCTTGAGGTGTATTTGTTTGGAAAGGAGGTTTCAGAAAAACTATTATGATGTATGTGGTGAAACATATGAAATGTGACAAATTTGTATCTGAATATTTTCAGTATATATAGCTGATTTTTAGCAAGAACAGGATGACACTCAAAATGAAATTCTATCTAAAACGAAAAGTTATAAAAATTAAACAATTTTTAAACTGGTAATTTTCTTTTCCAGTGAAGTTTTAATTTGGGGCTAATAAGAACAGGCTACAGGCCTAGGAATTATTAAAATGCTTGATCCTGAGGCTAGGAGCCTTAAAATCTTGCCTCATAGCAAAAACAGTACCTCTTCATACGGTCAACAAGCATATAAAAAAATGCTCAGCATCAATGGTCGTTAGAAAAATGAAAATCAAAATGACAAGGAGATATCATCTCACCCCAGTTAGAATAGCTATTATTAAAAAGTAAAAAAAATGACAGATGTTGGCAATGTTGCAGAGAAAAAGGAACACATATACACTGTTGTTAGGAGTATAAATTAGTTCAGCCACTGTGGAAAGCAGTTTGGTGATTTCTCAAAGAACTTAAAATAGAACTACCATTCAACCCAGTAACACCATTGCTGGTATATACCCAAAGGTATATAAATTATTCTACCAAACAGACACATGTACACCTGTGTTCATCACAGCACTATCATAATAGCAAAGACATAAAATCAACCCATACGCCCATCAATGGTGGACTGAATAAAGAAAATGTGGTACATATACCATGGAATACTAAACAGCTATAGAAAAGGATGAAATCATATGCTGAATTTTCAGTAACATGGATGCAGCTGGAGGCCATTTTCCTATGCGAATTAATGCAGGAACAGAAAACCAAATATCACATGTTCTCACTTATAAGTGGGGTCCAAACATTGAGTACTCATGAACAGAAAGAGTAGAACAATAGACACAGGGACCTACTCGAGAGTGGAGGGTGGAAGGAAGGTGAAGGTAAAAAAAAACCTATCTTTTCGGTACTATACTTACTACCTGGGTAATGAAATGATTTGAACACCAAACCCCAGTGACACAGGATTTACCCATGTAACAACAGATCTGCGCATGTACCCCATGAACCTAAAAGTTAAAGAAGTATCACCTTTTTCTTTACAAAATATTTCTTTTATTAATCTCAAGTTTTCAAAACATTTTCCCAAACCTAGGGATTGTGTATTTTTTTTAAATATGAAAAATAAGGTAAAAGTCTATTTAATAATAAAGTGGGAGCATTTAACAATTTTTTTTGATTTTAAGAAAACAGGCCCTGTGCTTTACACTGTAGATGGCATTATGATTAACACAAAAATAAAAATAAGTTTTGGGAGGCTGAGGTGGAAAGATGGCCCAAAGCCAGGAGTTTGAGACCAGCCTGGGCAACACAATGTGACCCTGCCTCTACAAAAATAAACGACAAAAAAATTTAGCCAGATGTAATGGTACTTACCTATAGTCCCAGCTACTCAGGAGTCGGAAACAGGAGGATCGCTTGAGTCCAGGAGTTTGAGGCTGCAGTGAGCTATGATGGCAGGACTTCACTTCACCCTGGGCAAGAGAGCAACACCTTGTCTCTACAAACAACAATAAAATAAAATAAATTAGAAATTTTTGTACATGGATATTTAATTTTACTTAAGATTTGGGTTTCTGCGCTAAAACTAAGGTAAATAGTAAAATACTTATGTAAATGATCTAACATATGGAACTTGAAATGAGCTATAGCAGTTAAAATATATTATCATTTTCAACATTCACGTCTTATGAAATGCTTCTAGGCATTGGACCCTGGTTACCTGGAAGTTATATGCATCTGTAGATAAGTTGGCATTTGTACTTTCTAATCATAGCTTAAGTTTGTAATATTTGACGCTCTTTTCAATTGCTGATATTAAAGAATTTAATTGTATTTTATCTTTATATGTGCTAGTCATATTTTTAATAATGCATTTGAATGTTTGATTGGCTTTGTGAAGTTTGAGTGTTTCTAGCATTAAGTTCATGCCTCTGAGAAACAGAGGTCTTAAACTAGGTTTTCTCCAACTAAAATGAGCATAGAAATAATATATTTTTTCAAGTCAAACCTTAAGAGCTTGTATTTCTTTCATTTATCTTTACTAATCATATGGAATCTAAGGTACTAGGGATTTTTTTGATTCCTGAGTGGAAAATTTGATATTTTGAGTGGTACTGTGTTAAGATACTACTTAGGGTATTCTCATTGCACCAATACATAAATATATAACCTGATATATTAAAGTGGCAAGAGAATGATAGATGTGAAATAAGTATGTTCCTACATTATCAGAAATTAAATCACAGGAGACAGAATTGGTTTATTCAACCAGGAAGCAAATAAAGATATCTTGTACTTAAAATTAGGTACTAAGTCATTGTAGGTAGTATCAGATAATGATGAAATGAAACTATTGTGCAGAATTTTGAAGACAGAGCTGGTCTGGTAGAGGTATTCTTTTTTTTTTCACCATCTTAAGGTAGAGAAGACCCCTCTTTCATAGAGGTTACTATCTAAGTAACCTCTGCTATCTTTGAATTTACCAGTGACAACTGTTGAAATGCCAGCAATCTCAGACTGAAAATCAGCATAATGTCCTGAAGCAATACTATCGATCAGATAAGTACTTGCACCCATAGACAGTGAACAATTATAATTATTTCTAGGAAGGTGATTCTCAAAGCTTGGTCTCTGGATTAGTGGCAGCAGCATCAGGGAATTTATTTATTTATTTATATTTCCAACTCTTATTATAAGTTGAGGGGTACATTTGCAGGACGTGTAGGTTTGTTACATAAACATGTGCCAGAGGGAATAGCACAGGTTATCCCATCACCCAGATATTAAGCCCAGCATCCATTAGCTATTCTTCCTTATGCTCTCCCTCCTTCCACCCTACACCCTCCAAAAGGCACCATTGTGTGTTGTTTCTTGCTATGTGTTCATGTGTTCTCATCATTCAGCTCCTACTTATAAGTGAAAATATGCAGTATTTGATTTTCTGTTCTTGAATTAGTTTGCTGAGGATAATGGCATCCAGCTCCATCCACGTCCCTGCAAAGGACATGATCTTGTTCCTTTTTTTTTTTTGAGATGGAGTCTTGCTCTGTTGCCCAGCCTGGAGTGCAACCTCTGCCTCCCGAGTTCAAGTGATTCTCCTGCCTCAGCCTCCAAAGTAGCCGAGACTACAGGCACCCACTACCATGCCCAGCTAATTTTTGTATTTTTAGTAGATACGGGATTTCACCATATTGGCCAGACTGGTCTTGAACTCCTGACCTTGTGATCCAACTGCCTTAGTATCCCAAAGTGCTGGGATTACAGGCATGAGCCACCATGCCCGGCCTATCTTGTTCCCTTTTATGGGTACTTAGTACTCCATGGTGTATATGTACCACATTTTCTTTTCTAGTCTATCATTGATGGGCATTTAGGTTGGTTCTATGTCTTTGCTATTGTACATAGTGCTGCAATTAACATACATATGCATGTATCTTTATAATAGAATGATTTAGATTCCTTTGGGTGTATACCCAGTAACGGAATTGCTGGGACAAATGGTATTTCTGCCTCTAGGTCTTTGAGGAATTGCCATACTGTCTTCCACAATGGCTGCACTAATTTATACTCCCACCAACAGTGGAAAAGCATTTTTTTCTTCACAGTCTTGACAGTATCTGTTGTTTTTGATTTTGTAGTAATAGCCATTCTGACTAGTGTGAGATGATAGCTCATTGTTTCAGTTTGCATTTCTCTAATGTTCAGTGATGTTGAGCTTTTTTTTGGATGTTGAGCTTTGTTTACGATGTTGAGCTTTTTGCTGGATGCATGTATGTCTTATTTTGAGAAGTGTCTGTTCTTGTCCTTTGCCCACTTTTTAATGAGGTTGTTTTTTTCTTGTAAATTTGTTTAAGTTGCTTGTACATTCTGGATATTAGATGTTTGTCAGATAGGTAGATTACAAAAATTCTCTCCCATTTTGTAGGTTGTCTGTTCACTCTGATGATAGTTTCTTTTATGGTGCAGAAGCTCTTTAGTTTAATTAGATCCTATTTATCAATTTTTGCTTTTATTGCTGTTGCTTTTGGCATCTTCATCATGAAATCTTTGCTGGTGCCTATGTCCTGAATGGTATTGCCTAGGTTGTCTTATAGGGTTTTTATAGTTTTGGATTTTACACTTATGTCTTTAATCTATCTTGAGTTGATCTTTGTATACGGTGTAAGGAAGGGGTCCAGTTTCAGTCTTCTGCATATGGCTAGCCAGTTATCCCAGAACAATTTATTAAGCAGGGAATCCTTTCCCCATTGATTGTTTTTGTCAGGTTTGTGGAAGACCAGATGGTTGTAGGCATGCAGTCTTATTTCTGGGTTCTTCACTCTGTTTCACTGGTCTATGTATCTGTTCTTATACCAGTGTTATGCTGTTTTGGTTGCTGTATACCTGTAGTATAGTTTGAGGCTGAGTAGTGTGATGCCGCCAGCTTTGTTCTTTTTGCTTAGGATTGTTTTGGCTATACAAGCTCTATTGGCTATACAAGCTCTTTTATGGTTCCATATGAATTTTAAAATGGTTTTTTAAAGAAACAGTGAAGATTCTGTCAGCTCTGATTTCTTTGAGCAGTGGTTTGTAGTTTTCCCTGAAGAGGTCCTTCACTTTCTTTGTCAGCTGTATTCCTAGGTATTTTATTTCATTTTTTTTTTCATAGCAATTGTAAATGGGAGTCATTCATGATTTGGCTTTCAGCTTGCCTGTTGTTGGTGTATAGGAATGCTAGTGATTTTTGCACATTAATTTTGTATCCTGAGACTGCTGAATTTGCTTATCAGCTTAAGAAGCTTTTGGGCTGTGTCAATGAGGTTTTCTATATATAGAATCATGCCACCTGTTCTCTTTCTATTCAAATACTCAAATAAAGAGTATTTCTGTTGCCTGATTGCCCTGGCTAGAACTTCCATTACTATGTTGAATAAGAATGGTGAGAGAGGACATCTTCATCTTGTGCCGGTTTTCAAGGGGAATGGTTCCAGCTTTTGCCCATTCATTATCATATTGACTATGGGTTTGTCATATATGGCTCTTATTATTTTGAGGTATGTTCTTTCAATATCTAGTTTGCTGAGAGTTTTTAAATAAGAGATGTTTAATTTTATCTAAGGCCTTTTCTGCATCTATTGAGATAATCATCTTTTTTCTTTAGTTCTGTTTAGTGATGAATCCCATTTATTGATTTGTGTATGTTGAACTACCCTTGCTTCCCAGGGAAGAAGCCTACTTGATTGTGGTATATAAGCTTTGGGATGTGCTGCTGGATTGTTTGCCAATATTTGGTCGAGAATTTTTGAATAGATATTCCTCAGGGATATTGGCCTAAAGTTTTCTTTTGTTGTATCTCTCTCAGGTTTTGGTAACAGGATGATTCTATCTTCATAAAATGAGTTACAAAGAAGTCCCTCTTTTTCAATTATTTTGAATAGTTTCAGTAGAAATCGCACTGGTCTTTGTACTTCCAGTAGAATTCAGGAGTTTTTTGATTGGTAGGGTATGTATTACTGCCTCAATTGTAGAACCCATTATTGATCTATTCAGAGATTCAATTTCTTCCTGCTTCACACTTAGGAGTGTGAATAGATGTTCTAGTTTATGTGCATTGAGGTGTTTATAGTATTCTCTTATGGTTTTTTGTATTTCTGTTGGGTCAATGGTGACATCCCCTTATAATTTCTATTGTGTTTATTTGAATCATCTCTCTTCTTCCTTATTAGTCTAGCTAGGGGTCTATCTATTTTATTAAATTTTTTTCAAAAAAAAAAAAACAACTCCTGTATTCATTGATTTTTTGAAGAGTTTTTTCTGTCTGTATCATTCAGTTCAGCTCTGATCTTGGCTATTTTTTGTCTTCTTCTAGCTTTGGGGTTTGCTTGCTCTTGGTTCTCTAGTTCTTTCAGTTGTATTTAGGTTGTTAAGCTGAGATCTTTCCAATTTTTTGATGAGGGCATTTAGTACTATAAATTTCTCTCTTTATGCTGCTTTAACTGTGTCCCAGGGTTCTGGTATGTTGTATCTTTATTCTCATTCGTTTAAATGAACTTCTTGAGTTCTTCCTTAATTTTATTATTTATCCAAAAGTCTTTCAGGAGCAGGTGGTTCAACTTCCATGTAGTTGTGTGGTTTTAAGTGAATTTCTTAATCTTGAGTTCTAATTTGATTGTGCTGTAGTAGGAGAGACTGTTTGTTATGGTTTTAGTTCTTTTGCATTTGCTGAGGAATATTTTACTTTCGATTATGTTATCCAGTTTAGAGTAAGTGTTGTGCAGCAATGAGAAGAATGCATATTCTGTTGTTTTGGGGTAGAAAGGTCTGTAGCTATCTATCAGGTCCACTGCATTCATAGTTGAGTTCAGGTCCTGAATACTTTATTAATTTTCTGTCTCAATGATCTGTCTAATATTGTCAGTGGGGTGTTAAAGTATCCCACTACTATTGTGTGGGAATCTAAGTCTCTTTAAAGGTCTCTAAGAACTTGTGTTATGAATCTGGGTGCTTCTATACTGGGAGCATATATATTTAGAATAGTTAGTTCTTCTTGTTGAATTGAATCCTTTAGCATTGTGTAATGCCTTTCTTTGTCTTTTTTAATTTAAAGTCTGTTTTGTTGGAAACTGGAATTGTAAACTCTGCTTTTTTTTTTTTTAATTTTCTAGTTAAATTTTCCTCTATCCCTTTATTTTAAGCCTATGTGTGTCTTTGCATATGAGATGGGTCTCGTGAAGATAGCATACAGGTCTTGATTCTTTGTTCATCTTGCCATTCTGTGTCTTTTAATTGGGGCATTTAGCCCATTTACGTTTAAGGAAAGTATTGTTTTGTGTGGATTTGATCCTGTTATCATGATGCTAGCTGGTTATTTCACAGACTTATTTATGTGTTTGCTTCATAATGTCACTGATCTGTGTACTTCAGTGTGTTTTTATAGTGGTTAGTAATAGTTTTTCCTTTCCATATTTAGTGCATCTTTCAGGAGCTCTTGCAAGGCAGGCCTGGTGGTGGCAAATTCCCTCACCATTTGCTTGTCTGAAAAGAATCTTATTTCTCCTTTATTTAAGAAGCCTAGTTTGTCTGGATATGAAATTCTGGATTGTAAATTCTTTTCTTTAGGAATGTTGAACAGTGGCCCCCAAACACTTCTGGCTTACAGAGTTTCCACTGAGAGGTTCACTGTTAGTCTGATGGGATTCCCTTTGCAGGTAATGTGGCCTTTCTCTCTTGGCTGAGCTTAACGTTTTTTTCTTTCATTTCAACCTTAGATAATCTGATGATTATGTGCCTTGGGGATGACCTACTTTTGTAATATCTTACTGGGGTTCTCTGCATTTCCTGAATTTCAGTGTTGGCCTGTCTTTCTTCGTTGGGGATGTTCTCCTGAAGTATGTTTTCCAACTTGGTTCCATTTTCCCCGTCTCTTTCAGGTACACCAATCAGTCAGAGGTTCGGCCTCTTTACATAATCCCATACTTTTCAGAGGTTTTATTCATTCCTTTTTATTCTATTTTCCATTATTGTCTGTGTTTCTTAATTCAGAAATCCAGCTTCCCACTTTGAGACTCTTTCCTCTGCTTGATTGTTTCTTCTAATAGTTTTTGCAAATGCATTGTGAAGTTCTAGTAGTGTGTTTTTCAGCTCAAGCAGTTCAGTTATGTTCCTCTATTTACTGGCTATTTTGAATGTCAGCACCCTTATTTTTTATCATGATTCTTAGCCTTTTGAATTTGGTTACAATGTGCTTCTTTAGCTCAGTGAAATTTGTTATTGCCCACCTTCTGAAGCCTTCTTCTGTTTTTTAGCTGTCTTGGCCTCAGCCCCCTTCCAAGTCCTTGCTGGAGAGGTATTGCAGTCATTTAGAGGAGAAGGGGCACTAGAGCTTTCTGAGTTTTCAGTGTTTTTGCATTGATTCTTTCTCGTCTTTGTGGGTTTATCTACCTTTAATCTTTGAGGTTGCTTGTCTTTGGATGGGATTTTAGTAGTTTTTATTTGTTGTTCTTGTTTTTGTTTTTCTTTTAACAGTTTGGCCACTCTTCCATAGGGCTTCTGTGGTTTGCTGGGGGTTCTCTCCAGACCCTAGTTGCCTCAGTTCTCTCCATACCTGGAGGTATCACCAGTGGAGCCTGCAAAATGGCAAAGATGGCAGGCTGCCCTTTCCTTTGGAAGCTCTATCCCTGAGGGTTGCTGACCTACTGCTGGCCCGAATGTGCCTGTAGGAGGTGGTTGGAGACCTAGTCAGGAGGTACAGGATTAAGGACCCACTGAAAGAAGCAGTCTGGTTGTTTTGGGGTTGAGCAGCTATCCTGTGTTGGGATCCCTTCAGCCCCTGATTGGTCTGGGGTCTATAAGGCCCACAGGCTAGACCAGGTGAGGAGGCCGACTGGCCAAGGTGGCAGCTTACCTTGTCCCTATGGCCCTCTGTCCCAGGGAGAAACTGAAGCTCTGTCAGCTCTGTAGAACATGGGGCAGTGGCCAGAAGCCCTGGCTGGGAGGACCTGGCTGAGATGATCCACCCTGTGAGTAAGAGTGGATTGGGGTCCCCCTTAAAGAAGCTGCCTGGTCATGTCTCTACAAAACAACTGTGTTGTGGTGGGGAACTGCCTCTGCCCAAACTCTCCATAGCCTGCAGGCTGGAACGGCTGAGTTGTCCAACCAACCCAGGTGGCAGCCCTCCCCTCCCCTGGCACTCTGTCCCAGGGAGAGATCAGAGCTCTGTCAGTAATAAGAGCCAGCAGGAGTGTCTGGAAGATCCCACCCAGTGAGGAGGAATGGATCCAGGCCCTGCTAATGAGCCAGTCTGACCACATCTGGCAAAGCCTCTGTGTTGCATTGCTAGGGGAGCCTTCCTTTTCTCTTCAAAGCCCACATGTTGGAACGACAGAATTGACCAAACAGCAGAGATGGCACCTGCCCCTCCCCTCAAAGTCTCCGTTTAGTCTCATGCAGTCTTCACCTTGTTGCGGGTAGCTGGCTGGGACTCAAAGCCAGTGGGTCTTATCTTGAGAGGTGCTGTGGAAATGGGGCCTGCAGAATGAGGCTATTTGGCTCTCTGAATTCCACCCCTTCCTAGGGGTATGTGAAGACCTCCTGCCATGTCTGAGTTGCATACATGTTTGTTGGGGATCCTGGGGATGGTATATGTAACGCTCCTGGGTCTCAGTGCATGCCTGAGCACTATTGTGCTAAGACTCCACACAGCTCTGTGTGTTGATCCCAAGGCCCTGGTGGAGTAGGCTCCCGAGGGGATCTCCTAATCTGCAGGTTGCAAAGATCCGTGGGAG